TGGGTCACCAATTATTGGAAGCTCCAAACTTTATACAACAAAATGTAAATGTAATCCCATACAAGTTAAAGGAAGTTCAACATGTCTTTGTTGCAAAAGCAAACTGACTTAATGTGCATTTTTATTTGCACACTGATCTGTACCTATGTTCCTTATAAAGCATTAGGGTTTTATTTCTTGTTCTTTGGTCCTCATAAACTTTGAGAAATTGCCTTTTATTCTATCAGTAAGCTACTGGGGCCATGATTTCAGTGAATGAGGACTGGTAAAAACCCTTCATTGTGATAATGTCTTGAATTAGAAAGTATAATGAATTTACTGTGATGGAATATTTTGCTGGTTTATAATGATAAAATTCTGTTTTGTAAGTAACGGGTTTCATATTTACAACTGGAGGACAATGTTTTAAAGTTCACATGACCACTGTAAGGGCTGACTGAAACTGATATAATTATTAATACTAAGTGCTTACAATAATCATAAGTAGAATTATTAAATAGAAAGTTGAGAATGAATATGGAAGAATCAGAATTGACCATTCAGCTGTCTATATACCTTTATTAGATACTGTACTAGCTTGGGAAACCCACTCCTTCTTTTATATTGTGAGTCAATATTATTCTAAAGTTACACATTAAGGAGGACAAAGAAAATTTCTTATCAAAGATATTTTTAAATAAAATATGAAATCCATGGCAAGAACTAAGATAGTACTCTTTGTTTTTCAAACATCTACTAAGAAACTAGCAACTCATTTTACTAATGTTATGGAAACAATATCACAAAATAAAAGATTTAAAATTGCAATTGACTTAGAACTAGAACTGGGAATTTTCTTATGAGGATAATGTGGGAATACATCTAGTACATATTAAAAATGTCAAAACCTAGTGTATACTAAAATTATTCCATGATAATTAAATCATACTGTCAGCTTAAACTACAATAGAAAATAACTAAAAGCTCAAATGTGATAATGTACAATGTCTTCCAATGAGCCAACAAATTTAATCTGCTATATGTGATGTTAAAAAATACTTTTGAGAAAAAAATGTTTATGTTTAGAGAGTTTGGGGTTTTTTGGAATAATGTAATAAATCGTTGAATAACAGAGTTGGTCATCTTCAGGTAAAAGTATATAGCAATAAAATACCAGCAATGATAGACTATTTTCATGGTTTAAAATTAGTGAATTATATACAGAATAAAAATCTTCAGAATACATTATTAAGTGGAAAATTTTTCTTTATATTTTTCTGTTTTAATAGAATACAGCAATATCTTACTTAACATGCATTTTTCCACCTAACAGTATCCATTTAGTTAATATAAAATTTATTTAGGCAGAAACATCAAAATAAAGATATGACCAATATGCTTCTGGAATACAATTAAGATATCTCTTCACATTAAACTGTAGGGACCATCTTTTTTTTTTTCCCAGATGCCTAGCACAGTGCCTGACAGACATGAGTAGATGCTCAATAGATGTTTAATAAAAAGCTAAGTACAATCTGTTTTGCACATACATTCATAATCCAGACAAGTTTGCAATGGTACATAAGTTGGACATAGGCTTTCTGGCTGACTTCATGGGGTCCCACTGAAGACTAGCAGTAAATCTTCATATCCATAGAAAACTGGAAAGCTGATAATTGTCTGGGTAAGGACCAAAAAAACAAAGTCAGGGAAACATGTCACCTAAGTAACAGTTGCTTTATAGAGCTGGTAAAGTGGCCTAATCATTCCAATAACCTATTGTACTAGTCATTCAATGAAATGAAATTTAAGTGTATCCTGTACATTTGCTAGTATATTTTTAATTGGAACTATTTTCATCATCCCTTATTTAAAATAAGGCACCTTTGTCAAATTTCATCCTATACATGGTTTGGAGGAATATGTTTTTACTTTTTTTTAGTATTGAAAAAGTGAGAGCCACAGTAGAGAAAAAGTAGAAAAAAAAAATTCATCGTAGTGAAGAAATTGTAGCAGGGGAAAGGACAAAGGAGGAAAGGGAAAGAATCCTATGAATGGAATAAAAAATTTCAAACATACCTAATTCTATCATCGATTATTATGACAACCAGTAGGGCCTACTGTGCACCAGACACTTCTGTGAAGGATATAAATATTACAAGACAAAAATCTTTAGCCTTAAGTAGTTCATAGACAAGACTCACAATTAAATATTTATAATACAATATACATTCTTCTTATATATAGGAGACCTTAATACAAAAGTAAGAAGTATATTCGCTGATTAATTGGAAGTGCTGGGGAAAACAAGCATTAGGGAAAGCTGAAATAATTCTCAAAACAGTAATAGTCCAGAATGAGAGAAATCAGTACCTCTTCCAAAAATAACGCAAAGATTACTGAATTATAAATGGACAAAATTATGGTTTTAAAGCTGTTTATCTTAATATAAAAATATGCCTCCATAGAAAACCCTTTAATACTATACATAGAAATGTGCACAATAGTTTTGTATCTGACAAAGGAAAATAAGGTAGTATAGCACAATGAATGTCAGGAGACCTGAGTTATCTGGCCCATGCTGTGCCCACAGATAGGCCCTGGAACACTGGTCAAGCTCTTCAAGCTCTCTCTGAACTTCAGCAACATGGGAAATGAAGAGTTGGATAAAGTGACCTCTAAGATAACAGCTAGTTTAAAATTACAGTCCTAAAATATGTCTCAATATTTAAATGTTTTTTACATGTAAATCATTATCCAACTTAAAAGTCTGGAATCTTCAAACCATAAAGGGTTAACACTGGGGATGGTGGGTTAAGGAATGTTTCCAAAGGAAAACAGAAAACTAAGTAAAGGTATTACACTCAAGACAAAATTTTACTGGGCCACTACCACCCCAATTTCTACATAATTCACCTCACTCAAAATTGATTTCTTCACTAAGCTCCACTTTCAATCTTTTACATTAAGGCTGCTAAGGTAATAAGGTGAGGACAAGAAATCCTAGGTGAGCCTGGAATCATAGCATTGATGTTGGGAGAAAAACTTGAACTTGGTATAGACTTTTACTGAAGTGCAGCAATTATACCTTAAAGAAAGGTAAGAAACTACTCAAATTTTTAACAGAAAGGAGGGAAATAAGGCCATATTTACTGCTACACAGCTTTTTCTTTTTTACAGCTTTTTCTTTTTGCCCTCTGTAATTGTCTACTTCTGCACACAGTTGGTAATTAAAATTTCACAGAACAAGTTTTGACATAACCAACGTTTTTCTGCCACCAAAATATATTATGTTTTGGCTTTATGAGCAAGAAAATAAAAAAATCAAATTACTATGTTTTTATAATATTTATGTTAAATATTCTTCTAGATTTATTTTTCTTCAACCCTTTCTAGTTGATCAAATTGCTGTTTTTACATTGCCAGTCTGATCACAAAATTGCTGCTTTACAGAAGAATATTTTTTGCTGACATAAATTATGGGATCAGAGATACCAATGCATTTACAAAAAAGAAAGGGAGGGAGGAGGACAGGGAGGAAGAAAGGAAAGAGAGGAGAAGGGAGAGAGAGAGAGAGAGAGAGAGAGAGAGAGAGAGAGAGAGAGAGAGGAGAGAGAAAGTATCAATGTGTGCATCCATCTTCAAGGAAAGGATAAAGAAATGTATGTATGAAACAAAATACCACTTTCCAGTGTAAGCCCTAGTAAAAGGCCTACATCAGAAACCTACTTCCTAGCATTTCTGAAATAAAATATGGCAATGAATTTGAAAACCATTCACTGAGAACATACTTTGTAGAAACAGGTATTAGTGATTTTTATCATGACTTAATTCTAATATATACAAATCTGGATTTATCTTTAATTTTTCATCTAACTGCAATCAATACACTCTCTTCAACTTCATGATTTCTTTGACTCATGAAAACATATTTTAAAAATCTAACTCCATATATATATGTGTATGTGTATATGCATATATACATATAGAGAGCAATTTGGTTCAGTACCCCCAGAGATGAAAAACTCATCTTAATTTACACAAGTAAATAAATAATTCAGTTAAAACTGAAAGTGCTACCAAATCCAGCAAACTATTGATGGAGAGGTTTGGCCTTCCATGAAGGCAGAACAACATAAAGTTTTCAATGGGGATTACTTGTGCAGACAAGTTACAAAGATAAGAAAAATACCCAGATAAATTATGAAATAACTAAAATTCTCATCTTATATAAAATAAATATCAGGAACATGTGTGCGGAGAGACAATACCACTAGTATTTAAACTTAAGCATTTTAGGCTTGGAACTTTATATATTGATATACGAAACAAACATTTAACAAAACAAAAAACAAAAAACAATAATATAAGTCAAAACCTAGCCAAAGGCCTCAATCAACTAAAAATTTGAAATCTTCTATGCAAGTCAGACAAAACGAAAAAAAGGAAAATTAAACCCAGAAAGCAAAAACCAATCAAGTCTGTTCCAACACTGAAGTCAATAGCCAAATCACATACAGAACCAAAAAGGGGAAAACACTCAGGTCTACAAATGGATAAGCAGTTCCAATACAATCCAGATCCCGACATTTTCCCACTCAGAAACAAATGCAGTGGAGCTTTCCTGGGGAAAGAGGAAAAAAGCTAACCAAATGATTTTTTTTAAGTGACATCCAGAAAGTGTCTGTCTTTCTCTTTCCCTGGTGCCTCATTGGAGGAAGGAGGGGGTTGTTTTTGTATTCTCCCCCACTGTAGCAAGACACAATCAGATGTTAGCTGGAGGAGAGAAACCAGTTTTGACAACAGCAAATAAAAATAAAAGTGCCCTTCCTCCTCTGACAGGATGGGCACCCCACCACACACACCCCTCCCCACTCCAACCCCTCCTTGACTCCCCACCCCCCAGCACCACCCCCTCCTCACCCCGGAGCTCCACTGCGTATGTGGTTTGGTGCTACTGTTGCCCCGGAGTAAAAGTCAGAGCCAGAGGAAGGCAACGAAGCCCCCACAGGCACACTTACCTTTCCTGCCCCCCACTTTTGAGTGCCTTCCCTGGAGCTGTGGAGGATGACACAAAGGGTAATAAAGGGGGGGAGTGGAGGAGGAGGAGGCGAAGGAGAAGGAGCTGAGCTGGGGAAGTGGCTGCTCCTGGGTGTAGTGAGATGTCTCCAGCCAGGGCCAAACAGCAGCAGCAGTAGCAGCAGCAGCAGCAGCAGCAGTAACAGCAGCAGCAGCAGCAGCAGCAAAGGGTCTGTGTTGCTAAGAGGCTTTTGGTCTCTTTCTCTCCTCCTCTCACGGCCAAAGAGGAGGAGGGTGGAGGGGGCTCGGGAGGGAGGCTAGTGGTGGGGTGAGGGAGTAGGAGTCGTGGATGGGGGTTTTCGAAGAAGAAGAAACTCCTTCTCCTTCTCTCTCAGGCTCAATCCCCCTCTCAGGCTCAGGGCTGGAGGGTGGGGGAAGGAACTCTGCCGCCTTTCCCCCCACCCCCCTCAATTCAAGGTTGAAGTGGGGTAAAATTAGTGTCCTGTCTCTTTAAAAATAGAAATAAAAGGTGCCCCCCCTCTGCCACTGCCTCTCTCTTCATCATCAGCTGCTGCTGCTGCTGGGGTCTCTCTGCTTGGGGGGGAGGGGGGGTTCGGGTAGAAGAGACGGGAGGCACTCACTGCGCATGTCCCTCTCTGACGGGAGGCTGGTTGGTTGAAGGCAGGAGGAGGGGGAGGGGAGGAAATGAGATGGTTTCCCAGAAGGCGCCGAGGCTCTCGCGACCCGGAAGACATTGTAGCAGGGGGTAGAGGGGCGGGGACGAGGAAGTGGAGGAAGTCGCTACTCTCTAACACCTCCAGCCCCCTCCTCCCTCCTAAGGGAATGTGGAGGAACGGAAGTGGGCGTGGCTAGAGGGGAAAAGCGGTCACGTGTCCGGGCGGGAGGCGGGCCTAAGGGAGAAGCGACGCACGCGCGGTGCACGCCGGGAGTAGTTGTGCACCGTTGGTAGCGGCAGGTGAGGACTAGCGGATAACGCGGCGAGGTGAGCTTGGAAATTGATTCCCGTGGTCGCAGGATCTCCTTGCAGCCTTGTTCAGGGCAGGGTTTTCTGGGAGAGGTAACATGGAATAAGCTGGTCTCAGAACGAAGGCCAGGGACGCCGGGGCGAAAGACGGATCGGAAGGGCGTTGGAGGGAGGCTGAGCAGTCGGGGGATGCGGGCGGGGGCAGGATTGTGTAGGCCGGGCGGGCCGCGGCTGGGGGACTCCCGGACTCCGGCCTCCCGGCGAGCCTGCTGACAGATCCCGGGGGGGAGCACACGGGGGCTCCTGAGAGGTTAGGTCTGTGGCAGTCAGCGGCTGCACGCTGGGGCTGCGGAGCGAGGTGGTGCTGGTGTGCGGGAGAAAGTGATCTCCGGAGACTCGGGCTCGCTGGTGACCGCCGCTTCAGCTCCGGGGCCCCGCCCTGGGAGGGAGCCCATCTCCCTGCGAATTTTGACAGCTTGCAGCTTCAGATGCATTGCTCGTATTGGGTATAGTTCCCACCAGTGCTTACCTCTCTGTACTCTCCGGAATTCTGAAACGGCTTTGGGGAGGAAGCAGGAAAAGCTTGAGTGAAATTTCCCTCACTGGCTGGCGTTGTTGCTGCAACCCAGTGCCTGAGCCTGCTTTCGGAGAGGGCGATGGGGCTGGGAGGTCCTTGAGACCGAGTTTTAGGATTGGTAGTTTCCCTTTCCTCTGCTGTAACTGAGAGCTTCTTAGTGGGTATTTTAAGTTTGTTTGGTTACTGGACTTGGATTGACACTTTGGTTTCTTAAATGCTGCCTCTCTTTACTTGCAGTCATGTTTCACTCAGAAGAGCAACATTCATTCAAAATATGAGAAATCAGTCATGAATTTCCATTAGTAAAACTTTTAGTAAAATAGCAATTTTTTTGCATTCACTCCATACAGTCTTAACTGGAAACGTTACCATTTTTTCACTTGCCTTCTTTTGTAAAAGGCCTTTAAAAATTAATCACTCATTTATGGCTTCTTCTATTACGTTAAGAATTTAAAATTGCTTGTGTTTATTATGTTGTTGTTTAATTCTGTAATAGATCCTTAGGAGCACACGATCAATTAAAGGTGCTGTGTATTTTCTAATTCTTAAATGTTTTGGCATCATGGCCCATTGCTTCTTTTCGTATGTGCAGGTGGAATAAAAATTAGGTTCCCGTACCATAACATTTTCTTTATATTGAAACCAAATGAATATTACTTTATAAAACAATTAAAGCAAAAACGTAAAACCTTCGTAGCTAACGATCAAAAAGTGTTCATAACTATGTGGTATAATGATTAGTTATAAAGTGAACACTGTGATCGCTGTCGAAGTTAAGAACTAGAACATGGCTGGCACCGGACACATATTCTTCCATCACTCGTCACCCGTCCTCCTTCCTCACCACTTCCAAAGGTTAACCCTAAATGGATTTTTATAAGTATTGCCTAATTTTCTTTCAAGTATTTTTTTAAATCACCTATGATAACAATCTTAAACAGTATTATTTTTTGCCTATAGGTAATCTATGTATAATTTGCCTGTGTGTACATGAAATATACATTAGATATAATTTTTCTGATGTTGTTAACATGTTTCTCGTGTTGTTAACAGTATTTAACACTGTTAGTACATTTGGCTTTATTGAATATATTTTCATTCCTATATAGTAATGTCTGTAGTACAGTAAGTATAATGTAGTAAGTCGTTTTATGACTAAACTGCAATTTACTAGTGTAATGTGCATTTGCACTGTGTCTTATTTAGAATTATGAACAATGCTACTATGAATGATCTCACAGATGTATTTTTATGTACATAGCATGCATTTTTTACAGTCCATATCTATCTATACGCACACGCACGCCAATAGATTGTGCCAAACTTTTCCAAAATGGATATATTAATTTACTCTCCCGCTATATGATAGATAGTTGTGTTCTACAGTCTTACTAAGAGTTGATAGTTTTCAGTTTTTGCCAACCTAATAAATGTAGCTTTATGTCATTGTTTTTAGTTTCCATTCCCCTTGTTCTTAGGGAGAATTAGCTCTTTTCTGAAAATTTATTGCTACTTAGACTTCGTGTACAATTTTTCTATTTGGTTGCTCATTTTACTGAAAGATTTGAGCAGTATGGCCACTTATTTCTCAGTGCTTAGAGCTTTTCTCTATGGGTACTTAATAATTACCTCCATTTTACTCCTTTCTGTTTTTTATGCTGCTGTTGTTGCTATTTGAATTTTAACTCCAGAAGAAGTTTCTGTACCTGAGCTGTCCAAATTAGATGCCACACTGAATGTGGCTATTGAACACTTAAAATGTTACTAGTACTGTTACTAATAGATGAATTTTTACCTTTATGTATTTTTCTAATTTGAAAATTGATATTTGATTCAGTTGTTGGAAAATCTTTTAAGTAAAATCTTTAAGTTGTTTGCAACACCTAGAATATGTAGATTTACTTTCTCAGCTGTTAAGTTTTAATAAAAATAAAGATCGGTGACAATTTACCAACCTAATTGTCATATTCTGTAAATGTCACACACCAGATTTCTAAGACATAGTATGAAAACAATGTAAAGTACTTCACCTTTTTATTGTGATTACATGTTGATATTCATAGTAACTTAATTTTACCTTCTTTCACTTTTTTTAATGGGGATACTAGAAATTAAAAATTACATGTGGTATTGTACTTCATTAGACAGTTCTTTTCTCATACATCATTGTTTAATTTCTTGTTCCTTTGTTCCTTTTTTCTTCATTTCTACATGAATTCTGCTTTTTTTTTTGTGGATCTTTTTTTCTTGTGTTTGAGTATACTCATTAGAACTACCTTAATACAGTTCTGCTGATAACCAGTTTTTTGCTTATGCTATAATGTCTTTTTTCACTTCAATCTTGAAAAATGTTAGGGGTGTTAAATTTATAGCATTGTGGTCAGCTATTAACCTAACTCTTGTGACTTTGAATTTTGTCTTTGCCTTATGTTTTCTGCTATTTTTTCTTGATATTTTTATGTGCAATTCTTTTCCCTCTTTGGGGTTTGAGTCCATTGAGTTTGTGAATTAGTGTCTTTTTTTTTTTAAAGATTTTATTTATTTTTATACAAGAACAGGGGTACAGGCGCGCAGACCTCTCCTGCCGCCCACTGCTCCCCTCAGCAGTGTCCTTCGGTCCTTCTGCCTGTTCTCCCCGCTCTGGCTCTGGTGAATTCTCTCACCCTCCTGCGCTTCTGACTGTACCCAGTGCTTGTATAAATAAACAAACAAACAAACAAACAAATAAATAAATCTTTAAAAAAAAAAAGAACAGGGGTACAGGCCAGACGCTGGAGGGTGAGAGGATTCTCCAGAGACAGAGTGGGGGAACAGAACAGGCAGACTGATTAAATACACTGCTGAGGGGAGCAGCGGGAGAGACAGGAGAGGTCTGTGGTGCCCTGTGGGATTCTTGCTAGCAGTCTGGGATCAAACCCGGCTGGGATTGAACCCATGCTGCAAAGGCTGTCAATAGCTTCACAGTGCAGCGCTCAACTGCCTGTGCCACCAGGGAGGCCCCCGAATTAATGTCTTAAAGAAATATCACCTATGGTTGTCCTTATTCTTGCAGTTAGGTGATAAAAATTAAAATCTTGACTTTTGTTGATAATGGTATTTGTAGTTAACATGTTGTCTATGATAATTCACATTTTGGAATTTTTTTATGTTTGTGCATGTTGATGACTTTTTTGTTTGTATGCTAGTTGTTCTATTTGAAAAATTAGAGGCATATGTAAGTACTAGCATAATGGTATCTTTCTCAGGAAGTTGTTTTCCCAGGAAAGATGCCTGGGGTACTATCAGACTCAACTCACTTAATTCATGTTCAAGACCTGGAATCCCTTCTATGTACATATCATTTTGAAATTTGGATTTCAAGTCATATGAATTCTCTTCTACTTCTAGTTCTCTCTTATTTTAATGATGATGCCTGTATGTTTTCAACTTCAGTTGGCAATGGTTTTTTTGAGTCCCCAGGGTTAGCAGATCTTGCGCTTTGATTTCTCACCTCCCGCCCCTGTAACACAAGAAAATAACCAGTAGCTCAACCTTTCTTGTTTTGCAGCCTTTTTTTCTGATAGATGAAAATTGTTAGCCTATAAGTATTCCTTTCAGTTCTGTTTTCTGTCCGAGATTGTAGAGAATGAATAGCATATCTTCTTAATATTGGAGTTCACCAGTGAACAAACCAGGCCTTGATGTTTTCTGTTTTGGAAGGTTATTGTACTGATTTAATTTCTTTAATATAAATCTGTTGAGATCGCATGTTTCTTTGTGTATATGCTTCATAAGATTATGCCTTATAGAGAATTGGTTCATTTCATTTGGGTTATCAAATTGTGGGCATATAATTGTTCATAATATTCCCTTATTATGATTTTCATGTCCATGGGCTTAATAGTGATGATATTAGTCATTTGTTTCTTGTTTTTAATCTTTTGTTCTTAATATTGTTCAATTTCAATTTAAACTGAAAGTTTTTTGTTTTGTTTTTCCTGATTTCTTTAAGTTTCATTGGTTTTTGCTCTAATTTTTATTATGTTCTGCTTGCTTTGGTTTGCTTTGATTTGATATTTCCAGTTT